TTCTTCAAGCTTGGACTTTGGCCGAGAGGGTTGTTCTACTGGTGTAGATGGTCCCTTCTTGGGTTTTGAGTCATCATCCTGGTTTTAAACAGGTTAAATATTTGTAAATTATAATGTTTTACTTCAGTGTAACAGTAACATAATGATGGGAGAACAACAAGAACATTGTGAATAACTAGTATCCAATGGCTCACACACACACACACAAAAATAGAACAAAACAGGAAATACCAAGAGCAAAAGATAAAATTAATTTGCATTTGGCATGATCTATTCCTTCTTTTTTGCAATCACCAGCTGTAAACTCTGGTGGAAAGGTCTGGTTGTTCCTCCACTTATGGACTTTTTGTCTTTAGTCTCTATTTCTAGAACCTGAGTTTTGCATGCACATCCATTGTACAAATCTGGCTTTGTATGTAGACTTTGTGTTGGCTCCTTACCTCTCAGGCACATGAATTCCAGTTCTGAGGGAAACTCTGTAACCAGTCACCTTTTGCAACATACTTGTTCGGTGAACAGTGGGTCTATTCTTTTTCTCTTCTCCCCACAATGGGAGTCAACCCACACAGGGTTGATTTATTCCACTGAGAACCTCCATTGAGTTGAGTTGAGTCAAGAATTGACATCACAGCACTCGGGTGCATTCCTATGCATGCTCCATCCTCATCTTCAGCAGCCAGTGCAGAGTTCCAATACTGATGGTACGGGTCACAATCTGGTTATATGTCCATCTTGCGTTTCCTCTGAGTGTAGTAAGCAGGCCAGACCCTCTGATTACACCCAGGTGCCTCATTCTCTCGGCTTCTCTACTGATTCAGTTGCTTGTTCCCAACGGGGCTTGACCACATCTGCCTTGTGTCATGTATCAATTCACCACCAAGTGGTGCAGATCCAGCCAATCTTTCTGCCTGTTCAATACCCACTACACCGGCATAGCCTGGAGAAAAGAATGACCTCCATTGTTAAGTGGTTAAGCCCTTTATCTCACACCCTGAAGGTTATGAGACTGGTTTCAGAGATTTCTGGGGGGCTGTCACTAAAGTTATGGAGTTCATGCTTTGTGTGCTGCAAGTTACAGAGTTTGTGCTCTATATTAACACTCTTGACAAATCACCAGCAGCCCTTGCAGTGAGAGTTTCGGCTGTGTGGGATTAAACCAGATGCAATGAAGTGAATCCTCTTGCTTCTAAAAAGCTTTCATTATCCACTCAATACAGAAAAGTGGTAACTAACCGACATAATCCACCGACTAATGACCTAATACCATACCTACTATTTCCTGAACAACCAAGTCTCTTCAGAGCATACACAACACACTGCTGCCTGAAAGCATTTCTGTATCCTCTCAAATTGTCATTTTGTAAAGGTAAAGTCAGGAGATGTGAACCAGCGTCACGGCACAGGATTATAAACCATAAGTGCTCTGCCGCCAGTACAGACAGCTGATAAGAAACTGTCCTCCCATGTCGCCGTCTGTGCGAAACTCCGTAGCTATAGCAACGTTCCTCCATTTACCCCAGAGTCTTAACTTATAAGTTAACCCGTTTTCGAACACCGGCCGTGGGCTGCAGCGAGTTGCAGCTGGATCTGGAAGCGAGTCTCCTATTGACTGCGCTAATGCAGCCCCACTATCTGTGTCATTTTGTAATTCCATATATCAGTCAGACCCCCCCCCCCCCAAACACTACACAGTATCCTTCTTGATCATCCCTTGGGAAGCAAGGACTGGTATGTATAGATCCCACCTAAAAAATGGGAAATGCCTGTGTGCAACTAACAGCTTCTGCCAACCAAACCTATATATCAGGAAAGGTGCAAAGATCTGTGAGACATCTAGAACAAGGGCCTCTGAATAGTGAAGACAGGCCAGAAAGAACCACTAAACAGACCCTTTATCTACAGACCCTGTGCCCTGCCCTCATTGTCCTAGACTCTTCTGTGCACTTATTGGACTTATAAGTCACCTCCGGACTCACAAACATTCAACTGCAGTTTCATGATGGATGAAAGAAACAGCGGTTCTCATCATTTGTGATGGATGAACGAACAAACGAACAATGTCTCGTGACCTTTCTATATCATCTCCCACTGAACCCACTGACAACAGGCATGGGTATCTTCACAACTCGGTTAGTGAGAATCATGTCACTGTAGACTCAGCTGGGTTTACTCTAGCCTCTGATTCTTCAGAGTTCTCCCATCTTTATCTACATTACTGCCTAAATAGGTGTATGACTTCACATCTTCAGGTGGGATGTCACAGAGAAAATAGGATTACTGTTTGCCTGGTTTATTCTCATTATTTTCCTCTTTCCCTTATGGATTTTTTTTTAAACCTAATTGTTGTGATCTCTCATCAAGTATGGTTTCACGAGTGGGATAAGAGAGAAATGTCATCAGCAAACAACAAACATTAATTACGGTGGTGCTGCTGTTACTACTACGTCGCAAGTTTGATGATGCTTGGCTAAATGCATAGACTTGGGCCCTCAAGTTAGTTGTCAATGGTGTTTTTGTAGGCTTGACAGTCACTGGACTTGATGCATTAGATCTGGAATAACAAGCACAAGACAGCTGTTAAACGATCAGAAATTTAATTTCTTTTAAAGATTCTTCTTCTTTGTTTCTGCTGCAGAAAGTTTTATTTGTTTGTCCACTTATGGACTTGAGTCATGCACTGTTCAACACACTCAGTAGGCGGCTAGATGTTCTGTGGAGAGAGAACGAGCCAAATGGGATAAAACACGTGTAATGAAGTCAATCCTCTTGACTTCAACCTTTTCTAACCTTTTGAGATCACAGAGGACAGCGAACAATGACAATATCAGTATGAATCTTCTTTTTCTTTCTTTCTTCCTCCTCTTCTTCTTCTTCGGGTTCACCGGCTGTAAACTGTAGCAGAAAGTTCTGGTTGCTCATTCACTTCTGGACTTTAGTCTTGTTCCCGAACCTGAGTTTTGCGTGCACATCTGCTTATCATCTGTATGCAGACTGTTGGTTCCTTATATCTAGAAAACCCCACCCCCTTCCCCAAAAATGGTGCCCAGGAACCCACATGTAATAAGAGTCATGGGAATCTATGTAGAGCATGGCAACCAGACTAATTCATTCAAAAACAGGGCTTCCTGAAATGCTTAGGGGAAAAAAATAACAGGAAAGCTAGAAGTGTGTGCAGTCTGCAGAAAATTACTGTGAAGGGAATTAGGAACTGAATAGGTAATTGTATAACTCCTAATCACAAACTGGATCTGGTTTTTTTTTCTTCTTCAGAAATCTTGCACATTTTAAGTCAATAATTATCAGGACTGTTGGATACAACATCTCTGTGGGAATGAGACTGCAGTACGCTGACAATGATTACCCAAAACATATGCAGGAAACATTACCAACCTCAACCTATATATTATCAAGGCCCTTTGAGTGTGGGTGTGAGTGAACAATGTGGAGGCACCAACAGACCATCACAGTCTCAAGAGAATAATGTAGCAGGAGATTCAACCCCACCAGGACCACACAACGAGCGATAAACCGGTGACACAAAGTGCCACTATTCGGACAAGAATCAACCGGGCTCAAGTCTCAGAAACCCTGTTCAACCATTAGGTTATATTAGGGCCCCCGACCACAGCCAGGGTGGGGTTTTAGGGCTTTAAATTAACAAACAATAGCGTCCCACATTGGGGTGAGATTGCGGCAGGGAGTGACAAAGGGATCTGACCAAGCCTAAACACTCAGGGGAAAGGCAAAATTGACACATAATCAAACTGGTAAAGGTACCATCAGAACTGGAACTCTATGCTGGCTGCTGAAATAAAGACAGAGCACTTATGGTAATGTCTTGAGTGTTGTGATTTTGATTCTTAACCCAAATCAACCTAATCCTCACAGACACAAGCCCTTTTTAATTCTCAAACTATTTATACTCCAATCATGTCAAAGATTTAGGTTAACAGACTTCCAGAGGATAAACCATCAACAGAAGAGGTCATCAAATTTGAACATTCAGAGCTGTAGTAACTCAGCGCTTGTCTTAAACTGTATCAAATACTCAAGGTAAATTAATTCATTAAAAATTATTCTTACACAAACACAAAAAGTAAACATAAAAGGCCCTTTCCAGACTACTGGTAATTTAAGTATGCAGTGTAAACCCAGGGGGTTTTACCCCTCGGGGGGGGGGGGGGGGGGGGGGAATATCAGTACTCACCATCTAGTGTTTACAAAAGGTTCCGATGCTTACCACAAATTGACTATAACAGTAGTGCTGAAAAAATTATGCCTAAAAAAGTGGCAATACGTGTACTGTTGCATCCCACCAGAAAAAAAGGCCATGACCAAACCTACATTTTTATCAGCCTACTGGAACTCAATGTGTAATGTGCTCAGTATCATGCCGGGACAACACTTAGTAGCTTTTTTTGGGTTGAGTCAACCCAGCAGCCTTAGATCAATAATAAAAAACAATATCCATGTAGATATGAACCCAAGACCTATGAGCTGGCCAGCAAGCAGCTACTCTGCTAAAATAGCTCTCATTATTACACAGCCCCCCCCCCCCCCATACCCCCTCCCCCCCCCCCCCCAATATTCTAAGGCCCCACTGAGGATGAAGGGGGAAGTAAACCAACTGTGTGTTTTCTGAGTGCATCTGCCTCATAGGTGACGAAGCAACAGTCTGCATACAAATAAGCCAGATGTGTAAAACAGATGTCCAAGCAAAACAGTCAAGAAGTGGACAAACAACCAGAGTTTTCCACGAGAGTTTACAGATGGTGAATTCAAAAAAGGAAGAGGAGGAGGAGGAGGAGCAGGAAGAAGAAGATAATATAACCAACAAATAATTACCTGTCTGCAGTTATTTTTGTCCTTCTAACAGCCTGGCTCACAGACGAAGCTGCTGACCCATTTGTGGCCCTGGGGACGGCAGATTTGGTCCCCAGCAGTTTGGCCAAGTGGGAGGTAGACCCGCTGGGGCTACTGGGTTTCACCAGCTGTGATGCCGACCCACTGGGACTGCTGGGTTTGGCTAGGTAAGACACAGAATTGCGAGGACTTGGGCCGGGTGACACTGGTGGTGTGCTGGAGGTGCTTGACCTTCTAGAAATTTCTGTTCCTCCACTAAACATTCCAGAATAAACAGATTAAGCATTATAGAGTAAAAAGGTTAAACATTACAGAGTAAAAAGATTAGTCATTACAGAATAAAAAGAGTAAACATTATAGAAACAAAAAGATAAAACTTGACAGAATAAAAAAATAAAATATTACAAAATAACCAGACTAAACATTCAGAATAGCCAGATTAATTATTTCAGTAAGTATATTTACAGAGGATGGCAGACTCGATAGAGAGACAGAAGCCAGACTACAAAAGGCAAATGCTGTCACCTACCAGTTAGTCCCACAGACACCCAAATGTCTCCCTTAAAGCAAAACAGCAAATGATTAATAGCATTTTTATCCCTACTTTATGTTATCGGTGCCAAACATGGATAAGGAATCAGGCACTAGAACCGAAAATAACTACATGTGAAATGTGCCGTCTCGGCAAGGTCACTAAGAACACAAGACAAGACAGGGTTACGAATACCAGCATTTGAGAGAATGTTGGAACAGGACCATGTCTGGATTATATTGACAGACAAAGAATGAAATGGTTCAGCCATCTAGTGAGAATGTAGCCAGACCAGACTGCATATGAGATTTTTTACAGTAGAACATCTGGGAGGAAGGCAAGAGGACGACCAAGAAAGTAAGGATAAATGGTGTAGCTGAAATCTGCAAAAAGATGAACAAATCCATCACTCAAGCCAAGAGAAACGCAAGACACATACAGAAAACCATAACACTCGGCTACAACCTGGTATCAGTGAGAAGAAAAAGAAGAATTATTTTAGGAAAAAAAGGTTCAACATTTAAAAAAACGGTCTGAACATTACGGAATAAGAAGATTATACATTAAAGAACAAAAAGATTAATTTTGCAGCTGACAGAATAAAGTCTATGATTCAAATAATGAATAAATAAATATTCTTCATATGAGAATAAAAACATATGTAACGAACCCTCCTCATGCTAATGGTGTGTCAGGTATGTGGTGCTACATGCACTATTTTACTGCCCGATCAGCTCTAAATGACAGACATCTTTACTTCCCCAAATATTTCCAGATATCCACATAATTTGTCAACCAGGCAACCTGCTTAAATTTTTTTCAATGTGGATTCTAAGCCAAGATATCTGGACCAGCAGGCAAATGTTCAGCAATGTGCTACCACAACTTCTACATGTGAAACTAGAAGACATAAAAACAACTTCCGCAACAAAAATTTTAATGTAATTAATCTACACATAGGAAGAATAGCGGCAGAAAAGTAAAAAAAAAATGGTGGGCGCTCACACAGGAGACCCAGGTTCGAATCCTCCATAGTCAGTCAGTTGGTCAGTAGCATGTCCTTATCAGAAGCTCGCTCCCATAACAACCCTCCAGAAGACTTCTCGATCACAAGCAAGATGTCCCACGTCCGATACACCAATCTGGAGATCATTCACAACATCCTGCACCCATCTTCTGTTTGGCCTTTCTCTTCCTCTCCTCCCAGGCAAATACCCCTCCTTTCGTGACATTTCAAGTGACCAAAATATTGTCTGTTTTTTCATCTTCAATAGCCAACCTTCTTCAATATTCAGTTCTTGAAGTATGGATGCATTTGTTCTTTTCTTCACCCATGATATTCTTAGAAATGGTCTATAACATTTGTATGCAAAGGCATTTATACTCTGTTCAGCTTGTTTAGCAAGTGTCCGGGTCTCACAGGCGTATGTTGCAATGGGAAAGATGCATGCTCTTATAAATCTAATTGTTGTAGTTCTGCCTGTCCTACTCCACAATTTATTCAGTTGCTTTAGTCTTTGACGAGCAATTAATAGTTGTCATTTAATTTCTTTCATTGTAGAACCATTCTGATAATCAATGACCCTAGATATTCCAACATTTTCTACAACCTCCAATCTTTCCTCATTAACACATATTTCCTCCATAGGGTTGTGGATTTTTTTTTTTGGGGGGGGGGGGGGGGGGGGGGGGCACACACACAAAATTCTAACTTGTGCAGTCTGTGGCCGCAGCACTAGCCATGTGGCCCTAAATCCTCAGGCTCAAAGACCCCCCAGACTACACCACAAAAGTGGTAAATACATGCCGTAATGGCAACAAACAAGATTCTATACATTTAAGCTACAAATGAATATGGTCAGATTCTCAATGGCACATTCAAACATACACACACAAAATTGATTATGACTGTCTATCTATATCCTCCTAATGTCGCTGTTGACAGATAAGGCGTTCACAAGGGATCTCCAATGCTGCTGATCTAGATCTTTCAAAACCTTACCAAAGCGTTCCCCCCCTCCCCCTCCTCCCGTACCCTTACACACAATCAATCCACATAGACCAGAGATCTTTGCATGTAATACAGACATAAATCCGTGTGTACAACTGATCTACACATATCTTCATCATCATCATGCAGGACATTCCAGTTTTTGTCGGGCAAATCTCTAGCGGAAACACTTTATTTTTTCTTGTGTTTGTGTGCTTGCACCACACTTCCCCTCCTCCCTTTTTCGTTAAGCTTCTTAGTCACATTTAATTCCTGCTATTAGCCTGACTGCAGTCATTCCTGTTTCCATGGCTTTCTGGATCATCATGTAACAGCTCCTTCAAAGAACACTGCTCCCATCACAGCACATCTGAAATAAACACGGCCCCTCACCAGCTCTCCCACCCCATGCACTTTCATGCCCAAGGTGTCTCCTATGTCCTATGTGCGTGTTCCTACTGGCTGACCCCTGTCCATCTTGCCCAGCATCGTTCTCTCTACCACTGTTTACCACCCCATCATGTTGCTGATCTACTTATATAATCAACACACAAAAATTTTTTAAAAATTTAAATCAAGAACTGCTTTGTACACCACGAGCTACAATGGGTTTCTAGTGATAGCACTATACTCTTTAGACCAGCTGACAATCCAGTTATGTGATCGATAACATGTCAGACGTATTTCCTTTTAATTAAATTTTCTCACAACTATTTAAGACTGAGTCCACCTTGGAGGTAAAGTCAGCTGAGAAATCCCTTCTTCAAAAAGGATACAAACACGGGGGAAACCCACTTTGAAATGTATTCGAACAAACGAAAACTGAGACATGTAAGATTAATAATGCACATAATTAAGCGATCCACACATATAATCTTTACATTAATAATAATATTTAAATGAACTACACAACGAATGTACTCATAAATAATCCACAGATAAAAGTCATCTACTACACGTAAAATATAGACACAATTATCCTTACAAAAGGGTAAACTGCACATACATTCTAGGAATACAAAATATGATGTATTAAAAGAACACAGAGGTATATAAATATACCACATATATTCTGGACACATTTTCTCACTTTCTGTTGACATGATTAATGTTGTCTACACCTTGCTGGGGATCCAACAGCTGACTCGGTTTTCTCTGTGCGGCATCCGATGCAGTTCGCCTGTACTGTGTATTGCCTACCAGTTTGCGGGGTTCTTTGAAGCTGTGAGAGCTTAGATTAGATCTGCAAAGGCATGGGAGGGTATTAGTATAGTTTGTAAAATCATAGACAGTTGGACGATTACTGAAAAATTATTTTGGAAGTGGTGGAGATATGATTTATAGAACGAATGATGAGAATACTCTGGGCAGATTTTAAAAAAGGGTAATGAAAATGTCATGAAAGAAACTGACTTATGAAGAGACTTGATTGCCCACATCAGAAGGAGACAATCTTCGGTCATGTCATGAGAAGGAGAAAATGAGTACTTCGCGGCGGTGGGAAAGTTAGAGGGGAAAAGAGGCAGAGGGAGTCCGAGAGAGAAGATGATCTTTCATGACTTATCCTACTTCATTATGGACCCAAGCCTAATATCCTACTTCCCTTAAGGTCTCCACAACTTGTATAAGCATAATATCCTACTTCCCTTATGGTCTCCACAACTTGTATAAGCATAATATCCTACTTCCCTTAAGGTCTCCACAACTTGTATAAGCATAATATCCTACTTCCCTTAAGGTCTCCACAACTTGTATAAGCCTAATATCCTACTTCTCTTATGGTCTCCACAACTTGTATAAGCATAATATCCTACTTCCCTTAAGGTCTCCACAACTTGTATAAGCATAATATCCTACTTCCCTTAAGGTCTCCACAACTTGTATAAGCATAATATTCTACTTCCCTTATGGTCTCCACAACTTGTATAAGCATAATATCCTACTTCTCTTATGGTCTCCACAACTTGTATAAGCATAATATCCTACTTCCCTTATGGTCTCCACAACTTGTATAAGCCTAATATTCTACTTCCCTTATGGTCTCCACAACTTGTATAAGCCTAATATTCTACTTCCCTTAAGGTCTCTACAACTTAAAAAGCATAATATCCTACTTCCCTTATGGTCTCCACAACTTGTATAAGCATAATATTCTACTTCCCTTAAGGTCTCTACAACTTAAAAAGCATAATATCCTACTTCCCTTAAGGTCTCCACAACTTGTATAAGCATAATATTCTACTTCCCTTAAGGTCTCTACAACTTAAAAAGCATAATATCCTACTTCCCTTAAGGTCTCCACAACTTGTATAAGCATAATATTCTACTTCCCTTAAGGTCTCTACAACTTAAAAAGCATAATATCCTACTTCCCTTATGGTCTCCACAACTTGTATAAACATAATATTCTACTTCCCTTAAGGTCTCCACAACTTGTATAAGCATAATATCCTACTTCCCTTAAGGTCTCCACAACTTGTATAAGCATACTATTCTACTTCCCTTAAGGTCTCCACAACTTGTATAAACATAATATTCTACTTCCCTTATGGTCTCCACAACTTGTATAAGCATAATATCCTACATCCCTTATGGTCTCTACAACTTGTATAAGCATAATATCATACTTCCCTTAAGGTCTCCACAACTTGTATAAGCATAATATTCTACATCCCTTAAGGTCTCCACAACTTGTATAAGCATAATATCCTACTTCCCTTATGGTCTCCACAACTTGTATAAGCATAATATCCTACTTCCCTTAAGGTCTCCACAACTTGTATAAGCATAATATCCTACTTCCCTTATGGTCTCCACAACTTGTATAAGCATAATATCATACTTCCCTTATGGTCTCCACAACTTGTATAAGCATAATATCATACTTCCCTTAAGGTCTCCACAACTTGTATAAGCATAATATCATACTTCCCTTATGGTCTCCACAACTTGTATAAGCCTAATATCATACTTCCCTTAAGGGGTCACTACACCAAAAATTTTTATTTTTTTATTTACAGACTTAGAGCAGTTATTTTATAATGACCATTTGTAGGGATACATTTTATTACATTTGTATACTTTAAGTGTTAAAAAATCATAGTTGTCATGGCAATAGCCGCCATCTTGTGAAAAAAACAATATGTACTTAGAATCCTTAAATTATAACAGCAAACATAGGTATTCAACAATAGATGATAGATCCATGACCTTTTGTCCTATTTAGAGGTACTGGTCTAGTTTATTTACTTTAAACTTGTTTTAAATATTTTTCGTAGAATTTTAAAATGTAGGTTTATTGAAAAAGTCAAAAAAATCTTGCATCATAAGACAATAATCAAATTTTAGAAACAAAAACTTTTTAAAATCTACTTTTAGATAGACCAGTCCCTATAATGTTGTTTATGGAGTATGCATACAGAATTTGATGATTCTACTCTTCATATTAGTTTAGATTTTGGGATTTCACACACACAGCAAACTGAAATATAAAGATTTGAGAAAACTGACTTTTAAACTTTTTTTTTATCTTAAAAAAGTGCACGAGGTGGTGTAATTAGTATTAACTTTTCAATGCTAAATTGTTTACAAATGACATAAATTTTTTGTGTCATCTATTGTACGAATGCCGAACTTTACAAAAACGAACACATTGAAAAAGTGATATTTTTGTCATAAATTGGGAAAAATGCCGTGTAGTGACCCCTTAAGGTCTCCACAACTTGTATAAGCCTAATATCCAACTTCCCTTAAGGTCTCCACAACTTGTATAAGCATAATATCATACTTCCCTTATGGTCTCCACAACTTGTATAAGCATAATATCATACTTCCCTTAAGGTCTCCACAACTTGTATAAGCATAATATCATACTTCCCTTAAGGTCTCCACAACTTGTATAAGCATAATATCATACTTCCCTTATGGTCTCCACAACTTGTATAAGCATAATATCATACTTCTCTTAAGGTCTCCACAACTTGTATAAGCATAATATCATACTTCCCTTATGGACCCTATCCTACATTATAAGCAAAATATCCCACTTCTCTTCTGGGCCCTAGCAAATGTAAAGCATAACATCCCACTTCCCTTATGGGCCCCAAAATCTCAAATTCATAAGAACTTCACTTCCCTTATGGACCCTAACATTAAAGAGAATGTTGAAAAAGACCAGGTCTGGATTATACAGACAGACAAAGAATGAAATAGTTCAGCCATCTAGTGAGGGTCCAACATAATCTCCTGCTTCTCTTAATACTCTTAACCTTGGTGTACTATAAGCCTACTGATCCCCTTGCATTTCTTCTCTACACATCCTCCCATGCCTCTTCATGTAAGGACTTCACTCCTTTCTCTCAGCTTCAACGCCTCTGTAGACTGCGTCAGGAGAACCATGGCTTCCACAACAGGGCCCTCAAAATGATGGATTTCTTCCACACTGAGGTTACTCTGATCATGTTTTATCTACTGCCTGTCACAGTGCATTAGTCGCCCGCTGAGGCCCTCGTTTCCAAACCTAAATGTCACCACAACAGACAATCCTCTCACTCACCTACCACCCTCACACCATCTGTGCCCCAAACATTCTCCTCAGGCATCTCTCCATCCTAAGGGATGACCCTGCCACCAGCAGGATTTTCTCTGAACTTCTCCTAGTGGCCTACAGACATGATTGTAACCTCAAGGACATTCTGACCAAGAGTCGGTTACATCCTACGTCTGGGTCCATAATAGGTACAGCCTCCTGAAACAAACCTGTATGCAAGGCTTTTCCGTATGTGGTTCAGGGGGGAAGTCTGGAATTCCTGAATGCCACCTTCCACATACATGAGGCATTCTGCTGCAAGAGCCGCAATGTCATTTACACCATCAATTGCAGGAGATGTAGCAAGAAATACATCAGTGAGAAGAGTCTATGACTGGCTGACAGGTTCAGACAATATCTTTTGGATGTGCTGAATGGTGCCCTGAAGTCAGTAACGTTGAGCGAATATGAGCATGGCTCTGAGGTCAACCCAACTTAAACTGGGAAACAGGTAAAATGACCAGGGAAATAAAGGCAGACTGTCTAATGTTGACCATATCACCTACTGAGCGCTGACTGGTCTATCAAAATTTGAAACTTAGCATAATATGCCTAAGTGGTGTGAAAAGGGTCTTTTTGTTGTTCTTTTTTAAACCAAGCAGTCTTAAATATTTAGGTTAAAAATTATCTTCCTGTCCAATACTGCTATAAAAGTTTAATAGAGGCATGAAAAGTTCAATGTCCTTTAAAGTAGATAAAAGTAGAATAAAAGACAGTTTACTCCCCTCCCCCCCCCCTCCCTCTTTCAAACTAACACCACTGACAGTGTAACACCAAACTGATGGCAGTGTGTAACAGACTATTGTGTTCAATGTCCATCAAAGTAAAAAAGGCCCCAAAAAAACAGTTTACTTGCCCCTTTGAAGTTTTAAACAACAGATCAACATCATGGCACATGGGTAGGAACCCAGAAGTGCTCCATTCTTCTTCTAACTCAAGTCTGAGTTTGAAGAAGCTCAGCGCAGTGCACAGGCTCTGTAGCACCAGCGAGGATCTTGAAATATTTTGGGTAAAGTTTTAACTCCAAATTTTGCCCGGGCAGTGCCGTTAGGCTACTCTTTTCGATTCCCAACTGCCAAGGGATTTTCTATGTGTGCAACAATGCACACGGGCGTCCGATCTCACTACCCAGAGACAGGGGGGAATTACTAGAAGTCCAAGTCCACATAAAAAGATCCCAGCCCTTACTGGGGATTGAACCCGGAACCTCTAGCACTCGAGGCAAACACCATGCCTCGAGACCATGTAGCCCTACTTGCCTTAAGTACTTGCCCCAAACTAACACTTCTGACAGTGTTACATTGTGTTTCTCAATGTGGGGCCCATGCCCCACAGGGGGGCTATTTGATTGTTAATGGGGGACAATTCAAAAATGGACTCGGTCTAGAGTTTAAGTTACATAGGGGAAGCATAAGTATTTAAGAAAGACTTTGGTGGGGCATGGTACATTAAGCATACAGTGCTACACCTAAATTCTTCTTCCTCATGCTCACCAGCTGTAAACTTCAGCGGAAAGTTCTGGCTGTTCATCCAACACTGGACTTTAGTCTTGTTTCAGAACCTGAGTGCTGCATGCACATCCATTTTACAGATCTGATTTATCTGTATGCAGACTGTTGGTTCCTTGCCTCTCAGGCAGATGCACTCCGACTTCTAAGGCAACCCCCCAAAATTAGTCACCTCTTACAACAAGCTTGTTGGGGAGGCAGTGGGTCTATTCTTGTTTTCCCCACAATGGGAAATCGGAACCAACACTGGGAGGCATATATTTTATAGACCAATCTGCAGCTGATGGGTGATTTAATCTAAAATCATGCTTATCAATATATGTTATATAAATAACAAGTATGCTGTGAAGAAAATGCCACTGTATTCATTGTAAAAAGTGCAATACAGAAAATAAGTTAAGTAATCAACAGAAGGATCCATCATACCTGTATTCATTTTCATTGAGGATGTGGTTAACCCCCTCCTGCTGCTGCAGTGGTGACAGGTGATATGAAGATGACGACGGTGTCGACATCGATGATAGTGAAGATGAAGGGCTGCTGAGCCCTGAAAAGCCATGCACAGGCAAAAATGATGGCGGCTGCGGCAGTCGTGAGGACGAGGATGATGATGTTGGAGGTAGCGGAGGTGGGCACTGGGGACGGCTGTAGTTCTGGGGTGAAATGTTGGCGTAGTGGCTAGAAACAAGTCAGAAAGGGAGAATATAGTTACAAACAACACAGGCAAATCTTAGAAACTAAGTAATTCCTAAGCTATGCTTTCTTTAGCAATGCTAACTTTTATACTGAGCTAACTCCTCGGTGTTTAGCTTATTTTTCAGTGAAGTAATTTCTCAGCCAAAGTACTTTTTTTTGCTTAGCTTATTACTCAGCTAAACTTATTTCTTATTGAAGTAATTTCTCAGCTTAAGTACTTTTTTTGCTTAGCTTATTACTAAGCTAAACTTATTTCTTATTGAAGTAATTTCTCAGCTAAAGTACTTTTCTTTCTTTTAAGAGAAAAAGACATTGCCACTAAATTTATAGTAGAACTCAAGAATAGATTTCAAACCCTATCAAGTGACCCAGAAACTCAAACTACAATCAGCATTCAAGACAGATGGAACCAGATGAAAGAAACATACAAATCAACTAGCAATAACATATTAGGAACCAGGAAACAACACCACAAAGAATGGATAAGTAGTCAAACCATGGACTATATTGCCAAGCGAAAAAGAATAAAGAGCCTCATAAATCACACTAAATCAGAACGTCAGAAAGACAAACTAATGTTAGAATATAGCGAACTAAATAAAATGACCAAGAAAAGTGCCAGAGCTGACAAGAGAAGATTTATGGAAAATCTTGCAGAAACAACAGAAAATGCTGCTAAAGCACATGATCTACAAACCCTACACAAAATTACCCAGCAAATTTGCGGAAACAGAAACAATTATCACAGCATACCCATCAGAGATAACCAAGGCAGACTGCTCACCACAGAACAAAAACAAGACATGCAGTGGACTAAACACTTCTCCGACCTCTTGAACAAACCTGATCCTGAAAATCCATCAGATATTCAACCAGCCTCTCAGGACATTGACATTATTACTGAACCACCAAACAAACAAGAAATCCTTAAAGCTATCCACACTTTAGAGAACAACAAAGCACCAGGCAAAGACGAACTGCCAGCAGAACTTCTCAAAAGTAGAACCCAACACAACTGCTAGCATTCAAGAACCATTGTTCAAGGATATTTGGGAAAAAGAAGTGTTGCCTGATGGGTGGACTGAAGGAACAATAGTCAAAATCCCCAAAAAAGGAGACTTAACTGACTGCAATAATTGGAGAGGAATTACTCTACCCTCAGTACCAAGCAAAATATTTTGTAAAATCATCATAATGCGGCTTGAAAAATGAGTAGATAAATGCCTACAAGTGGAACAAGCAGGATTCAGAAAGGGCAGAGGAAAAACTGAGCACATCTTCTCATCTTCTCCATACGTAACATTTTAGAACAATGCAATGAATGACAGAGTCCTATATATATTAATTTTGTGGACTTTGAGAAAGCTTTTGACAGCGTCCATAGAGACGGTCTGTGGAAAATTTTACGACATTATGGAATTCCAGAAAAAATAGTCAACATAATTGCTCTCTTCTATAAAGACTTTTCCTGCAGTATAAAAAATTACAATACATCTTTCCCAGTAAAGACGGGTGTAAGACAGGGATGTGTTATGTCATCTCTCCTCTTCAACCTTGTGATTGATTGGATACTAAGGAACACAGTAGACAGGACATTAGGAGGCATACAGTGGACTCCATTCACCATGCTTGGGGACCTTGATTTTGCAGATGATATAGCACTCCTATCACATGAACATGAACATATACAAGAGAAAAGTAACAGACTAAACTGCAGAGCAGAAATGGTGGGACTGAGAATAAATACAAAGAAAACTAAGATCATGACAAACAGTTCAAACCAACAACCAGTGACCATAAGTAACCAATCACTTGAAAATGTAGAACATTTCACATATCTTGGCAGTGTGGTGACCCTACTGGGAGGGACAGAGGAAGACATACAGTCACGTCTGAACAAAGCTAGAGTTGCTTTTGGAAGGATGAGGAAAATCTGGAAATCCAACAATTACTGCAGAGGAACGAAACTCTGACTCTACAAGAGCATCATTTTGCCAGTTCTTCTTTATGGAGCGGAATGCTGGAGAATAACCAAAAAGGATGTACACAGGCTGTCCACATTCCACCACACATGTTTACGTAGAATTAACAAAATTTTCTGGCCAGATACAATCTCAAACACTAAACTACTTCAAGCTACAAACCAAGAAACTTTAGAGAGTATGATTACCAAGAGAAGATGGAAATGGCTTGGCGACGTTATGAGAATGATTTCTGATATACCTGCCAATACAGCTCTCACATGGACACCAGAGGGAAAGAGAAAACAGGGGCGCCCAAAAACAACATAGAGACGAACGATGGAAAGTGACCTGAATCTTTGACATGGAAAACTGCACTGAAGATTGCACAGGACAGGAAAGCATGGAAAGTGCTCTCTGAAGCCTCATGTGCCACTAGGCATTACGAGAACTGATGATGATGATGAAAGTACTTTTCTTGCTTAGCTTATTACTCAGCTAAACTTATTTCTTATTGAAGTAATTTCTCAACCAAAGTACTTTTCTTGCTTAGCTTATTACTCAGCTAAACTTATTTCTTATTGAAGTAATTTCTCAGCAAAAGTACTTTTTTTGCTTACCTTATTACTCAGCTAAGCTTATTTATTACTGAAGTAATTACTCAGCTAAAGAACTTATTTTGCTTAGCTTATTGCTCAGCTAAGCTTATTTCTAACTGAAGTAATTCATCACATAATGGCACCACCAATATTGCAACAACAGACATCGCGCCATTTTCTGAATCTACAGTTCACACCACCAAGTTGGTCTCAATCGAATAACATTCCAAATGAAATCTGCAGCTCACAGTGTCACGCCATGCACTCAACTCAGAAGCTGGGCGACGAAACTATACCCTTTTAGTCTACAAATGGAGCAAAAATGCAATGGCCACCGTCTGGCAGAAGCAAAACATTTGCCACGACATAAAACAATGGCAGTGCCTAGCGTCCATTTTGGCCGGGGAAAAACTATATAACTGGAATATCTTTGCGCTGGAACCCAGAGAGGCATATATACAATATATATATATATATATATATATAAGACTGGCAACAATCAAAGGGTAGTCAACAGATGAAGACTTGCTGTCTTCAGGGTAGAATGGCAACAATGATATACATATATATATATATATCATCGCACACACACACACACACACACACACACACATATGCACATTTCATTAGTAAAAGTGCAGTTACAAAATATTTCATTATGTTTGGACTGGAAATAGTTCAAATTCACTATTTTTGGAGACAAGCTAACTACTTTTTAATCTTCAGATCTGGCCACACTGCCTGTCTCTCACAAGTCATAAGCTCATAACCAGGTACAGAGAGACACAAGTCATAAGCTCATAACCAGGTAAAGAGAGACAAAAGTCATAGGCTCATAACCAGGTACAGAGAGACACAAGTCATAAGCTCATAACCAGGTACAGAGAGACAAAAGTCATAAGCTCATAACCAGGTACAGAGACAAAAGTCATAAGCTCATAACCAGGTACAGAGAGACAAAAATTATAAGCTCATAACCAGGTACAGAGAGACACAAGTCATAAGCTCATAACCAGGTATAGAGAGACACAAGTCATAAGCTCATAACCAGGTACAGAGAGGCACAAGTCATAAGCTCATAACCAGGTACAGAGAGACAAAAATCATAAGCTTATAACCAGGTACAGAGAGACAAAAGTCATAAGCTTATAACCAGGTAGAGAGACACAAGTCATAAGGTCATAACCAGGTACAGAGAGACACAAGTCATAAGCTCATAACCAAGTACAGAGAGACAAAAGTCATAAGCTCATAACCAGGTACAGAGAGACAAAAGTCATAAGCTCATAACCAGGTACAGAGAGACAAAAGTCATAAGCTCATAACCGGGTACAGAGAGACACAAGTCATAAGCTCACAACCAGGTACAGAGAGACAAAAGTCATAAGGTCATCCAGGTACAGTCACAAAGCTGCTGTCTTGAAAGCAGACTATGTACTTTCAAAGGAAAGTTGCTAGATAAAGAGAGACACAAACTTGATTTCTTGTCATAGACTGGCAACCATCAAAGGGTAGTCACCAGATGAAGACAGGCATAAACCTGGGGACAATCAAAGGGTTAGGACAGTAGAATCAACAGGAATGACTGTTGGATTGAAACTACACAGTACTATCATTTCCAAAGCTAACTAACAAGCCAGATAAGACTCGACTTAATATAAACAATAAAGACTGGTGACTTACTTGTCTGCAATACCATTCTTGTCTACTAGTTTTGACTCCACTCTCTGTGAATCGCCAGCATGCCGCAACTGAACATTATCTCTGAGGATGCCAAAATGGGTTTTATTATTTCAAAACTTAAAAAATACACATTTTATTTGTAACACCCATTTTAAAGACCCTTTTTTCTTCTTCTTCTGCTGTCTGCTTCTTAAGGGGCAGCTGGCACGTCGTATTGTGGTTTACAGCTGGGCTGGATTTCTGCACATATCGGCCCTGTACATTCAATTTCAGCAAACACCTTTTTTTTAAAGGGACAGTAGGTTTCCTCCTTCTCCCTTACCCTCCCAATGGGCCCTAAAACCCAATGAACCCAAATAGGGAAATTTAACATCTAAAACCAAATCTTGAGTCAGAACTCAAACAATCAAATATGGGCCTCTGGCAATCCCCATTTTCCAATATCTTTGGTGATTTAATTCTGTGCATATTTTACATTCAAACAGTGATTTTACTGCATGCAACAATATGTCTAGAGCAGTCTGTTCACCTACTGAACAGAAAGAGTGCACTAATTACAGAGGTATTAATAAGCTAGCCACACAGGGAAAATATATATGCCAAATTAATTGAAAGAAGATTAAGACCAACAACTTTCAGAAGCCAGATGGGTTTCAGACATAACAGACTGTTCACCTACTGAACAGAAAGAGTGCACTAATTACAGAGGTATTAATAAGCTAGCTACACAGGGAAAATA